TTTTTTTTGTTTATACTTTAAGTGCCAAACAAACAAAAACATGAGCCAATTTAATTACCAATTTGGTAAATGATTCCAACATAAAGACAATTCATACGTAAAAAATAACCTGATCATTATTAAAAAAAAGCATATAAGAAAGAGCTTTTCTACTGTATTTTTTTAAAAAAATTTTTTAGAAAATTAAAAATTTGTATAAATTTAAAAAAAAAATTTAAATTATTAAACATTTCAAATTGTAATATTTCATTAACCTAGACAGTATCAATTAAATCTTTATAAAATGGGAAATTGTTTTTCTCTAAATAATAGCGATAATAATAATAATACTATTAATATACCATTATCACAATTATCCAACACCTCCGCCAACAATAACAGCATTCCTATTACTATTACAACTACCAATCAAAATAATTCAACAAATAAATTAAAAAACTGCTTACGAAAAAAATTAAAATTACTACGAAATCGCTTAAAACACAGAGACACTACTACACCCAGTTCTTCCTCTACCTCACCCAAAGTTTCACCGTCTATAAGGCCTATAGAATTCGGTGATAATGGTGGTTTTATTAAAGACAATGATCTTGATGATATAATATTTATATCACCTAACGATAATGATGAATTTTCATTACCCGACGATAAGATGTTAGATAATATCGACCAATTGGAAATACCGGAATGCTCATTTTATATCTCCGATACACGATATCTTGTCCAGTCGTAAAAGAGTTAATGTTTTAGATGTTGGGTTAGTTTGTTTTTAATTTTATTTTATTATTAATAGTGATTTTAATTTTTAAATTTTTTTTCTCGTCGTAATCTTTCTCGTTCTTCTAATGATAATGTAGCTGTGGAAAAGGAACTTGGATACTAGACATGTCATTGAAGTATCCATTTTCAATTTTCATAGGAATTGACAGATCACCAATTTTTCCATCACAAAACAATATAAAACAATTGAACGCGACATTTTTATATTTAAATTTGTTAGAGAAAGCGTTGCCATATGATAGCAACACTTTCGAAAAACTCTAGTAATGATGACATTGGTTATATTGAAATTTGTGAATGGGATTTAGTAACATTTAATAATGGACCTGTTACTAAAAAATTGTTCAAGTCTGGTAATTATTATTATATGTAAATGTATAATAATTTTTTGTTTGGGATTTTTTTTTCTAACAAAATTTTCTCTTTTTTAGTCCAAGAATATTTAATATCAATAGGTATTGAACCAATTATCAGCAAAACGCTCGAACAAATATTAAAAGAAAAACCCGACGAACTAACAGATATTACAATCCAAAAAAAATTCTTTCCGATCGGTAATTGGTCAAGAATTAAAGCAAGAAAACAACATTCATTCTCTTCATTAAATATTGATTACAACAACAGCAA